ACGGTGGTGGTTTCCTTGAGTGTTTCACCCCTGGCAAGAAACTCATGTATGCCTCAGGAGAGGCTGGAATGTCAGTGAAGGTGCTGTTACCCTTGTATGTGTTCAAAGGATTGCAAGACTGGGCAATTGATTCTGCTTCTTTTGCAGTGACTACGACAGTAACAACAAAGGGAACCGAATGGTGCAGTCGCCAGGGTGGAAAAAGTGCTTTGGCCACAACCAGCAGGGCACAGTGTCACCAATGGAGGTGAGTCTTCCCTTCCTTTCAAAACACCACTGTCCTGCAGCCCGTAAAGTCTCCCATGACAGGTGGAGCTGGAACAAGAGTCAGGCTGCGAGTCTCAGCACACACTTGGTGGAGTAATTTGTATGTGCTGATAACCTTCACAGGCTGGGAGGGTCCACAAGTATGCTGGCTGTAGAACAAGGTTAGAATTTTCGTGGACCTGGAGGTGTTAAAAGTAGAGGAACAGTGAGCAAGGAGGATGTGAGCATCCGATTAGTCCCTGCCTGAAGCCAGACTGGGGTTTGAGTGGGTCACCAGCTCGGTGCTCTGCAGCCACGTGAGCTTGGGGAAAGATGAACCTCCCCCGGGGAGGTGTGAGCGTAGCCAAAGCCACAGGGCACGTGATGTTCTTGTCTACTCTGCTCAGTGCTTGTGACGCTCTTGCTGCCGTTGCGGACTCTGGGCATCAGACAATGATGCCAGGATACATTGTCTGATGAGGAGCAGAGTCCTGTTGGCAAAGGGTGTCGGGGATAGGCAAGGTCACATAGATCCTGCCTTCTGCAACAGGCTGGTCTCTCAGTGGACCTTAATGTGCTGCAGAGGGTTCTCACAAGTGGCCTGGGGTTGGGTCTGCTCTCCCTTGCCCAGGTACACGTGAGCAGGACCATGCTGTGGGCGAGTTTGCGGCTCGCTGGTCTGCCTTGCTGTTGCTGTGTCTGTGCCTTGCTGAGGGGCAGCTTGGAGCATGGCTCACCATGTGACATTCAGCCTGCAGTCAAGTAGATCATTGAAGGCAAATACTTTAGGCTTCATGATGCGTGTTTGCTTGAGCCCACACACACACGAGGCACGAGTGCCTCTTCCGTGCAGACAGTCGCAACCATCTCCAGCTGCTGCTCAGTCCTCATGGTGAGGTTCCTGTGCCTATAAAATGGGCTTTGTCAAAGAGCCAGACTCAGCAGCAAGCTCTGGGAGGTCTGACCTCTGATCAGGGCTCCCTGGACTGGATAGGATGCTGATTGCAAAGCACAGCCCCTGTACAGTTCCTAGAAAGGCCTCCCAAAAGAGCCCTAGAGATGTGCTTTTCTTTCACTTCCAAATCTTGCTGGGCAAAGCCATATGCTCACTTCAGCCCCACAGGACTTTGATCTCTTGGCCTGAATGGTGAGATCTCTGGTATTCAGGTAAGTCAGACCAAAAAGCAAGAAAAACTTCCAGCCTTGGGCCTGCTCTCCTGGGCTAACTCTAGGCAGGCATTTCTGAATAATGCAGGTGCTGACTGCAAAAGCTAGTCCTTAAAAACTGGTTGAAATTCCAAACGATGTACCAGCACCCATGGGAACTGTGATAGAGAGAACAACTGAGCTTGTGCCAATATAGGCTAACTGCAAACAGCTCCCCAGGAGCCCAGCTTGCTTTTGCTCAGTTTTGATCCTGGCACAGCTCCCTCATGGCTGCTGGTGCTGCCATTTGGTTGCCTGCTCCTACCCCACTGTATGCTCATGTTGTTCCCCACAGCCTATCACTGGGGTTTGATTCTCTCTGGGCATTTGCTAGCTGCTTTTGTTGCCCACAAAGGGCATGTGGTTTCTCCCAAACAGCTTTTGGAGGAACACAGGGCTCTTTCTCTTCCTGATCTCCCAGATCTACATGGGAGTAGTTGGCTGTCCTGAAGCAGCTCAGGGGAAGTTTTTTCTTCATGGGAGAAGAAATCACTAACACAAGTTGTGTCTGTTTGCAGGCAGAAAATCGGAGGAAGGCCCCTGGCCTGGGGGCCCCAGGGAAGCCCCCCAAGAGGCAGTCCAACGAGACCTACCGTGACGCTGTCCGGAGGGTCATGTTTGCCCGCTATAAGGAACTTGAGTGAATGGTGAAGGAACCCCAAGCCTGTCTCTCTCCATCTCCATCTCTTTCTCTCTGTGTCATGTTCTTTTGGGGGTTTGGTCTTTTTGTTGTTTTTTTTTTTGAATTGTTACAGGTTTTGCTGCTAGAATTTTTTTAATAAAACTGAAAATTTGTCAGTGTTTGTCTCTTGTCTAAAATGGTATGTTTAAAAAGCATGTGATGCTTTGGAAGATTCCCATCCTGTTTTGCTGTCTGATGATGAGGTGCCTGGGAGTTGCAGCTGTGTCAGTGGGGCTGGGACAGGTTTGGTAGCTTAGTGGCCTTGCCAGCAGTGTCACTGTTCTTCAGTGTGTGTTCCTTACCAGCACAAGGACAGATGGTCCTGGTGCTGTGTAGTCCTAGGTCAGGATGGGAGCTGGGAGCAGGGGATAGCCCCAAAGCCTGGAAGAAATTCAGAAGCAGGAGTCACCTGTGTGATACTCATCCTGGCTGCTAGTGAGGTCAGTGGAGTTCAGTTAATAGCAAGAGCTTAATGGCTAAAGGGTGGTCATCTAGGTTCCCAAACAAGGGCAGAGCATTCTACATGGCATGGGATGGATTTGGTGGCATTGGTGTTGGGAACCCTCATGGGGACATAGCCATGCTGGCCAAGGTGACAGGGCTATGTTTGAGAGGAGAAGCTGTTTTGAGCAAATATCCCTGGTGTATCCCAGGGAGGTGTGGAGGAAGCTTCTGGGCAGGGTTGTGCAGCAGGCTTGGTTTGGCTGAAGCACAGTGATAGTGTGTGTTTGAGCACAGCAGGGACCATATGGGTGTCAAGACTGTGTGGCCTGTAATGATAAGGACAGTGCTGATGGCAGTGACTGGTGGGAGCAGATGTCATGCCCAGTCAGCAGGGCGTGGTGCTGGAACTGCAGTGGCTGGCACCCACCACTGCTTTCCTGCTTGCCTGGCAGAGAACAGGGCCTGACACTGCTTTCAAATATCCCAAAGGAGGGAAAGCAGGACACATGGAAGCTGAAGACAGTAGGATTTGGAGGTGAAGAGCCACGTGCAACAGCTGGCAACTTCCAAAGGCAGCAAAAAACCTGTCCAAGCTGCATTTCCTTGTCTCCAGCACAGGCAGTGCCAGAAAAGCAGGGTAACTCACTGGCACTGTGGTCCTTGGTGCTAAACCCAGCGATGGTGAAGGTGGGCATGACCACTGTGGTGCTGCTGAGTAGATGGGTGTGAAGGGAGGGGGTGTGTGCACCCAGGGCAAGGAGGTCTGTTTGGATGAGGTCTGTAACAGCCTCTGCTGCTGAAGAGCCCCCACTGTGTCAGGTCTAACCTTTACAGCCATCAACTGCAGGAACCCGTTCTGATCTTTTTAATTTGCTAAGTGGGTACATGCATCTTAGTGAAAGCCTATTAATGACTGATGATATCCAATTAATTAGAAGATAATAAACCAGATAAATGTAAGAGCAGCTTCCCTTGGACAGATGGACCTCACTAAATAATGTATGTTCCTTGGCTTAGCTGTGTGCTTGCTTGCTACTAGTCCGTGATGTGCATGTGTGAAAGGAGGGGCAACACAGCACTTTCCTTGCAGGCCCATTACCAGGGCTCAAGTCAGGAATGGGGCAGGAGCAGGAACAGACTGCTGTGAAAAGAGGGGAAAAAATTAATTAATCTAATTTCAGGATGTATCATCTCCAGCCAAGAGAAATCCTTTTTCTGTCTGTGCATGTAGATCTACCTCCCATTAGTTATATTAATCACAGAAATACTGGATGTGTTGGCTTCTGTTATTTTGAAGATCATAGTAAATGATTATGGGAAATCAGGAATATTGCTTGTCTTGAGATATCAGAACAACACCATCTTACTCCCAGAAGTGTGGGATTTCTGGGGATGTGCTGTGTGGGGCTTGGGATGAGGTGACTGGAACGAGGTTATTAACAAACTGAAACAGATAAAAAGAGAGAGAAGCAAAACGCATTAAAAAGATGCACCAAGCCAGAAAACCTCATATTCTCTTGAGAATACGGTGGCATAGGTGATAATGCAGAAACCCTATTTTTCCTTGATGCAGGGGTTTTGGTGTCTTTAATACTTTTTATAAGGTGGTTACCCAAAACCACAGCTGTATTACAACTACCTTTACATCTTACAGCTATCTCGCGTGTCTTTCAGAGATTTTTCACCATTGTGCTAGCGCTGTGGCTGTGTTCAGCATGTTGCCTTGTGTGCCATCCTGTGGTGATGGGTATGGCCCAAGTTACAATTTATTTCTATCTTTGGAAGGTCCTGGTAAGAGTATTGGAACAGCTCACAGGGCATGTCCTGTGTTGGAGCAGTTGCTTGGAATGGAGATTTTACACGCCAGAGGACTGGGGTGATCCATAACCAGCACTAGGGTTGGTATGGATGGAACTCTGTGTGCAAGGAAGCCCAAGGAGAAAAGGCAGAACAAGGGATTTAAAAGGTTTTTGTTTAAAAGGAACAGGCACGGGAGAAAATGACTGAGGGTGGAACCAAAGGGGAGGTAAAGTCCACTGTTTGGAGGCACAGGCAAGGCATTGCTGCTTGGACCCCTGCCCAAGGGAGAGTCTGTCTTTGAGCTCCATCAGCCACTGAGGTTGGTGTGCAGGAGGTTGCTTTGGACATTTGAGAGACTCTGAAATGAGAGCTGCTTTTTTTTCCCCCCATTCCCAGTGTAAAGCAAGTAGATAGTCTTTGGTTTCCAGTATTGATTCATATTATTGTTGATACAGCAGTGACTCAGGCCCTTGTAAGTGAAACATATTGGCATAAAGAGCTGAAGTTGTCCTTTCTAAAGATAAGAAAATAGTAGAGTGGGATGAAGGAATCATTTGTAAAGGGAGAGGGAGAACCCAGTGAATCTGCTTTCCTCCTTAGCAGTGATCTGCTTCAAGAAGAGAAGAGGGGCTCCTGGAAGGAGGATGAGGCTCAGGGTTGCCCCTTAGTAGTGCAAAGGCTGTGGCCAGAGTTCACCACATTTCCTTGACCTGTCAGCCCCATTTGGGATCCTCTCTGAAATGTCTTAGACAGTTTGGCATAGAACAATCTCACAGCCCTGCAGTCCAAGCAGAGCCACTCCATTAGCAGGGGCATTACACCCCCTGTTTTTCTCAAACAGAGGCAAAACCTGATGCTCCACAAATTGGATTTCTACCACTCAGCTCCAAGTGAACTAAAAAAACCCTCTTCCCTCAGGGATTTCTTTCCCAACATCACAAGTGCAGCTGTGCTGGACATCAGGGCATCAGGTATGTCCAGGCTAGGCTCTGCCAGGACACCCTGAAAGCCCAGAACACCACCAGAACACGAGCAGGCTACACCTCCACTGGTCAAAGTTTTAGGAGTGAATACACTGCAACTAGCCATTTTTTATAGCTTCCGAACAAAAACATAACCCTTCTCTTTATTTGAAATGAAAAAGTAATAAACGTGTACCTGCCTCTAGATAGATATAGGAGGATACCAGGTAAGTATCATGAACAATTTTACTCATTTAATATTTTATGACTCAAGGAACAGGAGTTCAGTGCTCAGAGGAGGTTGCTGCTCAAACCATGCCCTCGTTTCAATGTAGGTTCTATATTTCCATATTTATCCATATACATACAAAGACCATTCTGTTCTTTGTTCCTGCACTGGGGACATTATGCTTTCAAATGTCACCAAGTATAATCTTTGAGAAGTTGCGCTTGCATGGACTTCCTTTCAGTAGCACAAAGATTCAAAGGAAGATGAATGACACTATAGTAAGTCACACAGTGCCCAGAATAGCCCAGATAAGCACAGACACAAACCCTTGTCCAAACTTCAAGTGGATCTTTTTTGCCAGCACGCTTTGAAGGGGATGTGATTTGGCCAAGTTGCTGCTGGGGGTTGTGTGGGTTTGTGCATGCGCTGCTCAGCCCTTTTGCAGCCTGGAGCAGGCTGGTCTTGTCCAGCTGTTAAAGTGCACCTCACTTCCCTGTGGAGCATTTGGGAGTGCTGCAAGGAAGCTGGGAATGTGAGCATTACCCCCCAGGGACAGAGTCCCCCGTCCCACACAATGGAAGGATGGGCTGGTCCAGAAATGGCAGAGGGCTGGCTAATAGCTTTGAGCTCATCCCTGGAGCTGCCTCTAGCTATCCCCTTACAGACACTGCTGCTGCTGCAGGTGCCCAGTGAGCAGCTCCTGGATTACAGGATGGCGCTCTGGCCTGATGGGACTTCACACTGTGTCGTGCCAGACCTGACTGGCAGGGAAGGAGAGGATCTGTCTGAGGAGCTGGAGTGCCTGTGTTGGGGTGGTTTGGATTCCCATCAAGGAGGGGCAGCAGGAGCAGGGTCTCCCCAGAACAGGTGGTGCCCTCACCCACTGGGGTACAGCCCCACCAACAAACAGATGACGAAGTAGCCTGCAACACCCATCCAAGGTCCGTCCAGAAGATGGGGCTGCCCACCTCAGCCTGAAGTCTGGCCAGGAGAGCAGTCTGGACCTGCAGCACAGCTTGGGAGAGTGCTCAGTCCTGGCCTAGGTTTAAATGGAGTCCTCAGCCCAAGGGGCAGCAGGTGGGTGGGTGGACAGAGGCTCACCCGAGGCCAGTTACTGCCCCACAGCCTCAACAGGATCTTAGGCAAATCCCTTGGATCCTTCTGTTTCTGGGGCATGGGAGAGAGAACAAGCACCTCTCTTGCACAGACAGCAAAGGCTCTTTTCCCCAAAGTCCCCAAAGCAGTCACACCCCAAAGTTGGGGTGTGCCTGCTCCAGCACTTAATTTGGCTCAGAGGTGCACTTTTGAAACTGATCTCATGACTTTCTCCACTGAATTGTTTCTCCACTGGCTTGTGTCACGGAGCAGCTTTGGAGAGGTCCAGCTTGGGGCAGCATCAACTCGATTCCTTCCACATGATACAAAATCCAATACACTCCAGGAATGCACCCCACATTCCCCAGCCACTGATGGATGTTCAGGCTGCAGGATCAGCCCAGAACCTGTCTGAAGCAAAAAACACACCTTGTAAATCACAGAATTATTTACACTGGAAAAAACCTTTAAGATCATCGAGTCTAACTGTTGGCACAGCCAAGCCCACCACCAAACCATGTCCTCAAGTGCCACATCCACACGTCTTTTCAATCACTGCAGGGATGGTGACTCCATCACTTCCTTC